TGCATACTATACTATACACACACTGACAGAAACCTAGATAGGGAATACTAATTGTCACAGATACTTTAGCAGATTATGACTTTACTAAATACTATGCTTTTTACTGTAATATAAAGGTAAAATATGCTATTTGTAAAATATGTATTTAGGTAAAACATAAGGATGCTGTGGAGAATCATTTCAGCATATGCAAACAAAATAGCTGCACAGTACAATAATATATTATTTCTTAACACGGTGAAACTAATTTTACTTTTGATGTGTGCATCTAAAAGGAATCAAAATTATTTCTGCAAAATTTACAGGAACAGCACTAAGAAGAATCAAAGTAAGAATTAAATATCAGTTTAACCCTTTCACTCTAGAGGTCTAGGTTAGTCAAAATTCATCCCCACACTAAACTTCACTCTCAGTTTTCAGTGTCAAAGAATAAGAAATGTGCATCCCGTAATAAAGTGCATCTGTTTTGTTACAGAAAAGCTATGATCAGTATCAATGAAAACCAACATTTAACAGATACTTACATAAACAAAAAAGATGCATCAAATCAATAATGATGCATTTTACCAAGACAGCTTCCTTGAGCTACTCACTTGGGTGGTTCATCAAATTGTTTCTGGTCTTACTGCAGCCACACAAAGTGCATCATATATCTAGACCTGATTTAGTTCCTGAGTCAGAACTGTCCCATTAATGAGAGCTACAAGAAACAAGGAAATATTCATACAGCCACCTGATATTTAAGCCTGAGACATGTTTCAGTTTGACAGCTGATTGACTTAAAGTGCTTCAGAGAAAATAAAAAATTCCTAAAAGACATTCTTCCTTAACTTTTGATGTATCAAATCCTCAACTGCGCAGCCTACAATCATGTTGCACCTCATGCAAAGACTGTCACTGATCTATATAAAGTTTTAGTCTTCCTCACTCAAGCACACAGGTGATCTCAATAAAATCTTTTAGAAGCAGGGTTGCTAATCCAAAAGGCCACTCAGGAGTGTCTGTAAACATCTGAGACTTCTCAGAAAGTCACTATCACCTGGAACACCAAAGAAACCTCTTTAACTCAACTAACGCACTTTCAGCCATTCCTCTCGTCTATGTGTAATGAAAGAAATAAAATATTTTCATTGCTTCCTGCTTAGCTTTCCTAAAACTAAAAGGAGGAAACAATCCCTTGGTGTTTGCTGAATAAACTCAACCCAATCACTGGAATTAATCATTCTAGCTTTGTCATTGTAGCAATGAAGCCTAACATGGAAAAAGATGGAAGTATGGTATAAATGAAGCACCTTTCAAAATAATATACAAGCGTGTGAAAGAAAACGTTAACAGTAAATCAGCTGAAATTATGTTCAGGAATTTACGCCCAAATTCACCTCTGACTGTTACAATCATTCTCTTATTGACCGAAACAGTCTAAAAAATTTCTGAAGCTGTCTGGAGCTTCCTCATAAAGCTTTACCTCTGAACAAATCAGATTTTCTCAAGAGTACTGCCAACTTTATTTTTTTTTTTTATTTTTTCCCCAAAACTCAACTGTTTCCTAATGCTTTTCCCATGTATCAGGAAAAATATATTACAGAAGATTGCAGTAGTGATTAATTTCAACATTTTAAAACATATGTTATTCAGTGTCAGAAAGCCGAGAATGCTTCAAAAAAAAGAATATAGGAAAAAGGCAAAGGTACAATAGTTGTCCTCCAGATGTAGCTTCCCGTCAGCAGTGAGCTGTGGTTTAGGGACTTCCTGAGATAGATCTTGTATAAACACTCCTGTGTTTAAGTCTGGGTGGTATTTTTTTCTTTACAACATTTATTCTCCAAATCTGTCCACTTTTTCCTGCTATTCCTCCACACATACTTTTTTAAAAAAATTTTTAGTTTCAAAAGCTCTTGTGTCAAATGAATTCAGCAACTGAACTACACACTGTCTGAAAAACAAATCAGTTTGATTTCTCAAAGTTTGCCTTTTTAAGACTGGCACATTCTTATCTATTTTGTTTACCTTGATCACTGACTCAAAGTTAACTTCTATGACAAGTTGTTTTACAGTAGTTTCACTAGTTTTGAAAGCCAAGTCTAACAATTAGACCACTCCTTGCTGATTGTATTACTCTGGTGAAGACAACTGTTAGCTTTCACAGCCAGAAATAACCAGCTACTAGTATCCTACTATTAGGAGGATCTGTTATTCTCCAATCATAGATTTAAATACAAACTGATCTCCGAGATTCTCAGTATGAAAATGAAATGGCAGAACTATTAAATGTTTTGAAAATCACATCATTCAGCATAAAGACTTTATCAAAAAGCAATGAACTCCGCTTCATAGTATTACAAATCCAAGGAAGAGGCATTCTCATTTGGTCCAAGCAGAATGCCTACATAAAGGCTAATCCCATTTTTCTCTTCAGTCCTTCCCAAATGGCAAACACCTAGTGTTATCCAAACAATGTGGATACCCTACAAACACTTGGCTCATCCAAAAAGAGCCCTGTCACCTATCAAGTTGCAACAACTTTATTTTCCCAAACAGACAAAACTGCAACAGACTGAAGAAATAAGGCGGCTTTGTCATACACAATTTGGAATGACCCATACACAAAAGTTTCCGGGAACAGGCTGTTTAGACAGCTTTAAAAAGACAAAAAATGCACTCAGCACTTAACCAGAAGGTTGATCTGTGCAATAATGTTTCTTATTCAGAAAAGAGGATGATCAAAGAAATAGGGTTTGGCTATTCTTGATCTTTCAAATATTTGTATTTATAACACAATTATCTGCAAGAGAACATTAACAACTGAAAAACATACCACAAGAGAAGTCGCTATTTAGTCTCCTTCACTGGGTAAAATTTTTAGGCATTTAACTGCACTTAAATTTAAGTGACCTAAAAACAATGGATCTTAATTATATGTTAAAGAATTTAAAGTTGGTTATGGATTATTTCTAAATACGGTCCTAAATAAAGAACTTTAACCTCAGGAAATCTTGTATTTCCAAGAACCTGGGTGCTCTGGGGCATAACAGCAAGTGAGAAACTTGGATTCTTCTACAAAAGCAAAGAATCTGAAAATGTTCACTTTAAAATGAAAATTAAATACTTAAGTTGTGATCTAGGTAGGGAATCACTTTCCTTGCTCTGTAAGTAGTCAGGAATTTCAGAAATGGATCAGCACAGGAAACAGCCACCTCAGGATCTTGGCAAACACTCATGGCAACCAGCTCCCTTCACTCTTCCTGCTCCCCGTTTCCCTCCCTTGAGCAGCTCTGTTTATCTGTAAGTAAAGAAGCACCTTGGAAATGAAGGAGTGTGAATCATATGCCAGCTGGAAGAAAATTCAATGGGCCTATTGCAAAACCTGTCAAAAATGAATAGAATTATCACATTCTGGTTCAATTAAACCAGCTTTTTCAGTATAAAACTAGTGAACTGGAAAAGCTTTGGACTGCTTTAATCCCAGGTATCCAGACTATGCTACTTAATACCACTGAAACAACCACTTCAGACCCTGGGTTTGTGTCTTCTCTCTTTAGGTATAGAAAGGAGTAAGCTTTTCAGTTAAATTAGAAAATAATGATAAAATAACAGTAACTAAGAGGCACCCTGCAGGAGTCCCAGGCCATAGTGTAAAGGTACAAGAAATTTTAAAAGCCCAAGGCATACTGAATTACTAATGTAATATATTTGGATGTGTTTTTTTTTTTTTTTCTTTGATATAGTAGACATTCACTTTTATGATGGAAATAATTGATTACTAGACTAGCCACTACTTTTCCACATTTTAACTTGAACAGAAATAGTTTGGTTTAATCCAGTATATTTAAACATCTTTATTTTTCCTTTGATTAATCTAAGTGTTCTCATACTGGTTTCCTCCATTTCTTCAAAACCCAAAGATCTTTAAAACTCCTTGAAAAACTATGAACAATTATATTACTTCAATATGGTACAGCTTTCTAAAGATGGCTATGATATATAGTGACAGTGAAATAACAGTTTGGTTTGGTAAACTGTTGATAAAAAGTACCTAAAAAATGAATGTTTTTGTATTGCGACGTTTCACTTCTGATAATTTCTTTGCAAGATTCCCAGCAAGTTATAAATACATCGTAGAGAAATTTTACAGTAATTATTTTTATTTAAAAAACAAACAAACAAACAAACTGAGGTGATATCTAATAACCAGAGGTGTTCTACACATAGAAACTTCTATAATAGCAAATTTTTAGGAAGGTTCTAGGGAAATGCTAAGTATTCACAGCAATCAAATGAGAAAAATGCTTTGGATGACTGACATGAGTAGCAAGCAAACATTAAAAAATGCACTGGTGTGCAGCGAAGTTATGGATTCTCAATCTGCACTGAATTATTTTAAGAGTTTGCTTGAATTTGGATAATTTTATTTTCCTTTATTCCTGGGCACATGCCATTTCCTGATAGAAGTAACCTAGGAAGCAGTAAAAATGGAGAGCATCAGCGCCACTCTGAATAAAGCTGTCTATTTCCCTCTTTTAACATTAAAGAGGTCCAGTCAATAAAAACTAGTAGAGCCAACTTCAGTGTCTGTGATGACAAACAGCACACAGTGTAAATATTATTAAGCAGGAAGTAGCCCCCCACCACCCCCGACATTCTGGGGACAAATCCTATGCAGTTACATATTCTAACAGCTCATATCATCTAAAAACCAGACCCGCATTCCTCAGTCTCCAGAGCTTCTTCCCAACGATCAGCGTTTCCACACACCACGGACAAGCAGCCTGCGTTTGGGGTTACCCTCACGCGCCCCCGCTCCGGCAGCACCGCGGCCGCCCAGCACGCGGGTGGCACCACGGGCAAGCGCTCGCGCCGCGCGACAAGGACGCTTCCCTCGGCGCCACCAACGCCCAGGACCGCGCCCCGCCCCGCCGCGAGCGGGCCCGCCCCCGCCGCGCGCCGCCAGCCGTGAGGTCACGGCGCGCGGGCGGGCCCGCGGGCGCCGGTTGCTGGTGGAGCCCCGGTGCTGGGAGGAGGAGGAGGAAGGTCTGTCCAACCAGAACTTGTCCGCTTGCGGCAGGCTGGCCCTTTCTTTTCGCTACCAGGATGTAAGTCTACCACAAAGGAGCTGAAGTTCAAATAAGGCTGCTTCAGCCTCGCGTGAAATGATGGATTCCGAGCTCTAACACCGGATTGCCGAGTTCTCCCCTTTCACCAGAAGAACGCCTGGCTGCGCCCCCAGAGCAGCGCAGCGCGGATGCGTGGCTTAGCCTGGGCAGCCAAGCTGTGAAAAATCTTCAAGAAGAAAAGCGGAGAAAGAGTTTTGCAGATCCCCTAGTTCTTGCCTTGTCTAGCTGCAGCGCAGCATACAGCTATTCAGCTGCAGACTACAGGGGAGTCATGCTTCTGACACAGTCAGCCAAGTGAGATGTCACAACTCCTGTGGATGAGCTGTTCTGAAAATTTTTGATGAAAGCACACTCAGGACTGAAGAACGAAGCCAAAGGAGACAGGGTAAGAATGGAAAGTACAGATGGATTGCGTTTAAAGTATGCAGCTGGTTTTATATGTCCAGGGTCCAAAGTCTGCCTGGTTTGCAAAGCCAGCCAGCCAGACTATCATATGAGAGAATGTAAGCCTGTCAAAGATATTACTGCTCCCAAATATAAAGCAGCAAGCCTGGATTTTGTTTGTTTGTTTTGTTGTTGTTTTTTTTCTTCCCTCCTCCTTTTTTAAAAACAAACTCACTCCAAAAATCCCCACCAAAATATGAAGATAGTTGAGACATTTTATGATGCCAGGCTGTGAAAAGCCTTCTCTCCATTATTTTCACAAATATTAAATCTTTTTTATAATATTACTTAATTCTGCATGTAATTTAGGGCTTCATGCTTCCTCAAGCTCACTGAAAATGCATATGCCTTTCAAAAAACTTTATAGGACATACTAATTTCTATGATAAGCTTTATAAAGGACTACCTGTATTAAAACTTATGAAATCTCCATTCAGTCTTTCTTACACTCATGTCTGATCAAGGAGATATAAAAGTTCCTGGAACTTTATAATAGAGTCTGTAAAATAAGTATTTCAAAGACTTTGCAAAAACTTAATTAAAAAAAGAACCTAGCATTTGTGAATACCTTTGTGTAAGCATTAAATATTTACTATATGATCTAACTAGTATTTTTCATGGGCAAAATGAGTCACATTTATTAAAATGTGAATCTGTTCAAGGGCTATTATGGACAAAGTGCACACACACGTGAGCACAGTATGAGCACTTTTTGGTAGTGATTGGATTAAGTGAAATAAGGTGAGGCCGCTGTTAAGGAAAGCAACAACAAAAGCAGCACTCTCTTTCAATAATTACATTCCACTTCTATGACAGAACTTTAGTAAAGCACAAAGAACAATCCACAAATAACATGACTAAAATTCTTGGTAATCCAGAAAGAAAATTCATGCTTCTTGTAACTAAAAAACCCATCTTTTGCCAAAACTTGAAAAAAGTTACAGGGCAGCAAAAGATACATAGTCTTTTGAAGTTTCTTGCAGCACTTGATAGTATTTCAAAACAAAAGTTCTCAGAGCTAATTAAAATACTCTCATTCTGAAGTGTTGCTTTAGTTATCCACTCAGTGAAAAAACTATTTCCTTTTAAGAAGGAACTAGTGCTTGAACCAAAATTCCACCACAATTTTAAGTGGACAGAAAAGCGGAGTATGGAATGCACTTAAATAAAAGTATCTAAAGCAATTAATTGGTGTCTGTCAGTGTGGCATTGCTTACAGTGGAATCAAGTAACTAGTGGCAAAAAAACCAAAGCTCATTCCCCCCATGTTGGGAGTTAAATTTTTCAACTTAGTTTTACATCATGTTTTCCTAACTGAAACTGCATGCTATTATGTGTCAGCCCTTCCCTATCCCCTATTATATTTACTTTAAAACTTCAAACAAAACTTTAAAGCTTTTCCTAATACATGTGGCATGCATACTACTGTGCTGTATTTTCACTGTGAATTGCTGTTTCCTGTTACAAAACTGAAAAAAATCAGTATTCAGGTTTTTCACAGCAGTACTCTATCTAGAAATCAAACTACATGAGTTAATTCTAAAAGAAGACTTTCACTAGTGGAAGTCCCTCTCCTTTGAGAAGAGCAAAAATTAATAAATCACATTAAATATGAAGACTACCTGAAAAACTGAGAGGATGGATTCATGTAATTCAATGCAAGAGAATGTTTGGGAGAAGGAGTAAGAACAGAGCACGAGCTTGAGAATAGGAGCAGGGAGTAAGAAAGAAAGCAGCTTCAGAAAGTTCATGCTTATGTATCTTATCACAACGGTGTTGTGAAATCCAGATCATATTACTGGCCTGGTGCCTGGAACATGCCAGCTAACTGTAAATCCACAAACACTATCAAAGGACTCTGCAGAAGCAAAAACTAATGTTTGTTAACAAAAAGCAAAACCAAACCCTCTGATCTTTTTATAGTTGGATTTTATATTTTCGACACCCTTGTTCCATTTGCTTTTATAATCCAAAGAAACAGTGAAGATTTGCTGCTAGTTTTTAATGTTTCTTCTTTAGAAAGAACAATTATCAAACTATGTGTGAATACACAATCAAATAGAATAGTTTAACTTTTTAAGAATGAATGGTGTAATAGCTAACACTATGCCTTTTGTGAATGTGCCTTCATTTATATGTCTAAATGCTTGAAGAATCTGCACGAAAGGTACCACAGCATGTAAGGTATGTAGGAAAAGCCAGCTCATTAAATGAATGCTAGCCTCATTTTATTAAATGTGACCAGCAAGCAAGAACTGATTAACCCATAGAACTGCATTTTGTAACAGTGTGATTTAGCACAACAAAACAAACTCATCTGCATGTAGGATATCACTGGCACTTTTTTCTTCTATGTCAAAACAACCATACAGGGAAATGTCAGAAAATACCAGCGTTGTGCAGAAAGCGCGTATCTCAACCTTCTTATATATCTGGGTATTTCTAAAAGGCTCTGAAGTATCAATTTAATGATGGTGCATTCAATTCTGGTATATTAGACCTGTACACACTCCTAATGATCCAGACTCTAGACTATAAGCCCTTGATTCTGAACAATTTTACAAGAATCATAATAAATTTTGAGTGTTGGGCCTTGCCTATCCACTCTTTAATGACATGAAAGTCACCTATTATCAAAAAAAAAAAAAAAAGAAAATATGACACATAAATAAAACCATATACAGAAAATAGAGTGAAATAATAAAAAACAACTCCCCAAATTCTGGAATTAACGTTCTAAGGGATGTAATACTCTGGGAGCCTCTTTTTAAGGAGGTTGAGTGACAATGATAGAAAATGCTAGCAGTTTGTAAAAACAACATTTGTTATCCCAAAGATACAATGACTTACATGGAGAAGCTTTTTATTTTGACAGCTTACTGAGCACTCCCACTTAAGTGTAAAAAGTCACATAGGAAACCTACTTCTTCACCTTGTTTACAATGATTGTCATAACTGAAGCCTCATCAACTAAAAATGCCTCCTTAATTCCTGAGCTGCAACACAGAAGCCACTAAAAATCTATTCTAACTTTTTGAAGTGAGAATTGCTGCTACTTTCATCATATACCAGGTTCTGATTTATTAGCTCCTCAAACCAAATTGGTGATGTTTTTTCTTAATTAGATTATCTTTGCAATAAATTCAACAATACTGCAATTCAAATAGTTGCTGAAGTCCCCAGAAATCTCCTTGTGTAACATCCTAGTTTTAGCACATAAAATTGCCTTCTCTGTAAAGCAGTCTCCAAGACACACTGTCACGTATCACTTGTACAAAAGCTGCATTTATATAACTCAGTGCATCACACTTTCATACCTACAGTCGTCTGGCTTAATAACAGTTTACTATATATAGAAAAACAAGAGCAGCAGCAAGAAGCAATTCTGCTTTTACTTAATGGGTTCTTCTATGTTTCTTATCTGTAGGAGTAACCCATACCAATGCAATGTAAGATACAAAATATATATTCTGTTGTGAAAACCAGGCAATTATTTTCCATATTTATCTTAGTTACAGTTTTCCACAGAAGACTTACAGATCATTATTTTGCTTTTGTATTTCTCCAAAATGCTATAGTACAGGTGATAGCCTTCCTTAAATGTCAAAACATTTCCTCCTTGAACTGACTTGTAATCCCAAGTAAAGGATAATAAACTTCAGTGCTCAGCCACCATCCAGTGGTCTTCCTACTGTCTCAGCTCTTTTTTTTTTTTTTTTTTTTTTGCAGAACACTGAAAAGTACAGGTGTTAAAAGAACATAGTATAAACTCCCAGAGAGAAGATGCCAATTTCTCAGTGGCTGAAAGACTCAACATTATAAAACCACTTTAGATCTAGATGCAACAGTGTTGACAATATATACTCCAGCTTTCATGAACACCTTCCTTTCCAGAGTAATACTGCAAATGTCTATTATATGAGCAAATTTGATGCAACAAAAACAGCCATAGCACTGAAAGGCTACTGGTAGGATTTTCAAATAAACTTAATAGTACTTTATTATGTTAGTACAAGTCATAGTTTTCATCTGATGGAGACATACCTTTGTTCTCTTCCATACACAAAAATCCAAATGAAGCATAGCAGTAGAACCAACAAGTAATGAAAAAAGGTATACGTGTTGGAATATTCACAATGCAACATCTATTTTGTTTTAAGTAGCTTTCAAAAAAAAAGAAACAACCCAAGGCAATAGTGCTGACATTGCTACCTTTAATGCTTTTTCTTAAGGCGAGCTGATTAAAAAAAAAAGTAATTTGCCAAACAGTAATACTTTGCACGTAGAAATATTTTTACCTTTATCATTTCAGGATTATGACAGTGATTAAACTATAGGATGTGAAACACCTGTATAATTTTAGATGGTAAAATACTTGAATCCTGTTGAAATACCACATATGAATTTCAAGATACTCATAACACTCAAAAGGTAATATATTTTGACTAACAAAATGTCCCATATAAGCATGATAGAGTACAGGACAAAAAAATATTTCAAAGCAAAGCTGAAGAAAGATTTTATTTACTTTTTCCTAAGGGACAGGAAATGCTGAATGAATGAGCAAACAATCCAACTTATTACCTACTTCCTGTTCAATATACAGATAGGCCAACATTTGGTCTACAAACTGAAATTTTAACCAAAGCGCTTATGCTGGCTAGGCATATGAAAAATACGATTACAAACCACACAACAGTGTCACCAAAAGTTTTTACACAGACGCAGTCATACTGGCAAAGGACAAATATAAAAAAAAAAAAAATTTTTGCCTGGATAAATTAATATATACTGCCAAGTCGGAGAAACTGACACAAAACTGACTTTAGGCACATATGCACTAGGGAAAATTTGTCCCAACTCCATTCCCATGAAAAGTGCTTTTACAAGTATACAAGCCTTGAACAGCTATAATCTAGAAATGAAATTACTTTAAACTTCCACACTATTTCTAATTAGAAGTTCTATTTGATTTTTAATTAAAATGACACAGATCTTTTTTTTTAAAGTGTGCTTCTTTCACTTCTTCCATTTTTTGCTCATATGCTTGTTTGTTGAAGCTTTGTCAGTGTGTACAAGGATAAAAGACAGACATCCTATATTTCTAGTAATTAAGAAAATTTGCACCAAACCTGCGAGCATGCTTTTACATAATGTAGATTTGTGTAATGGTGAGGTTGAAAAGTCTACAGCTACCTAAGTGGAATTCTGCACTGGGGATAAATATGGCCCAGGAATATAGTTTGGTCTCAGTCCACTGCAAAAAGGCTACTGGGAGAGGGAAAGAAGGGTGCAGATCCAGAGAAACAGAAGAACTGAGTGATCAGCAAGCAACAACACTAGTTAAGTACAAGGAGTGTGAGCAATTACTTGGCATAGGCACAAGAGAAGAAAACTGAGAGCTAGTGTGCTAGATATCAAATAAGTAAGATCTTCCTCTCCCATGGGATGGAATTCTGATGTCCTAAGAATCTGATGTTCTCCTACTAAAAAAGGAGGGGAAGATATAAAAAGCATTAAATCCTTCCTTAAAATAGTTTCTCTGGCTTCCCTCCCCACTTCCTCCAGCAAGCTTTTTCTGTCCCTGAAAGATTAATCAGAGTAGTTCAAACAAGCATATTGGTTATGAACTTTATTTGAATCCAACTGCAGAAAAGAAGAAATGCTGTTTATGTTATGTCGTCCATCACAATATGCAACAAATAGGCCTCATTCTGAACACTTTGTTTTGTTTTGTTTATAAACTGAACAAGAACAGTCAAAAACTTAAAAGATCACTTCATAAACTGAGTCTTCAGGAAGAACATCTGAAGACAGTAAGGTTCTTGTTTCTTTTCGTACAGGAACATTCTCTTACCAATGTACTTTTCCTTCCAATGTTTTTTCTTATAGGAGGAACACATTAGAAAAGGTGACATGCAGGCAAGATCATGAGAGAGAAGCATTTCAGCACGGTCTAATCATGCTGATGTCATTCACTGATGGCTTACCTTCTGCAAACAGTGGCCAAACACTGGAATGGGCTTCCTGGAGAGGTGGTCGATGCCCCATGCCTGTCAGCGTTTAAGAGGCAATTGGACGATGCCCTTAACATGCTTTAACTTGGTCAGCCCTGAATTGGTCAGGCAGTTGGACTAGATGATTGTTTTAAGGTCCCTTCCAACTGAAATAGTCTATTCTATTCTATTTTGAAAGATGTTTGAACTGGTATGTTAAGATGAGGCTGATGAACTCTGTTCCATTTCTTTCTTAATTCTTAAAAAAAAAAATGGATAAAAATCAAACTGTTATATATTGCTCTGTATTTCTTCAGCCTGGAAAAGAATGTGCACGCCAAATCCTGTGCTCTATTAAAGTCATGAGATGCTGTAACAATGACACAAGTGAGCGCCGAGATAAAAATTAGTTTCTTTTCAGTGGTCACAATAATTAGAGTTTTTGAGGGGGAAAAAAAAGATAATTCACACAGTGAAGTAAAACCCATTTTACACCTATAGGCAAGACATTTGCAGAACCAGTCCATATGTGCAGAAATACAAGGCCTGGAAAACTGCCAGGATTCCAAGTGTGACCTGCTGTGCAAATGCTGATTATGCAAGTTAAAGCTGTCTGGGGTGAATTTATGTTCCCTGTTTTCCAGGGCTCCAAATAACATTCCTTTACTTACAAAAACTGTTAAACTCCAAACTTTTATCTGACATGTTTCCAAGATTTTTGACAAGTTCTGTAAAGCACAATTCCTTTCCATTTGCAAAATGGAAATGAGTTTATTCCAAATAAGGAACTGAGGCAAAAATGTATATCCAAAAACTTTAAGGAGGATCAAGTCCTGGTCACTTTTGTTTGAATCATTTAGAGAAGCATTTACAGAAACTTCTATGTTTTATTTCAAAAGAAGAGAAAAATGTGTATGACTGACAACCATATCTCTTCTCAGTAGGAATAATCATTTAAGCACGCATATCCATCATTATCTTGAAACACAAAAAAAAAAAATCTTTCTTAAAAAGTCACCAACTGCCTAGAATCATACAACAATTCAGATTGGATGGGACCTCACCTTTGTCCTACAAAGCAAGACTGATTTTAACATTCAATCAGGCTGCTCAGAGCCTTGCTTAAATCAAAACTTTACATATTTCCAGGAATGGAGATTTCACCACCTCTTTGGGTGACTGCTTCAGTCCTTGGTCACCTTCATTGGGAAACTTTTTCCTAAAACCCTAAATTAATTTTTCCTGAAGCAAGTTTGTATCCATTGACCATTATACTTTCACTGGGCACTTCCAAAGAAGAATCCATCTTCTCTTCAAACACCCATTAAGTAGTTAGGGACAGCAGTAAGATGTCTCCTTCACCTTCTCTTCTGGAGCCTAAACAAACCTAGCTCTTTCTGCTGCTCCTCATATATCATGTCTGCCAGCCTTTAGCTATCCATGTTGGGTGCGCTCAGCTGGACTCATTCCAGTTTCTCACAGCTGTTACTACCATCATTTCATGTCATTTAAAACATTTCACTGTAGTAAAGATAACCAAGCAGTAAGGTGACAGTTATTTAAACAGTGAATGGTTATTCTGTGTGAAATGTTTTACAAGCAAAGAAAAATCTGATGGTAACAGTACCTTGGTTTTAAAAAGTATCAAGCTGGCTTTTATATACTGAAAAAGGCCCACACTGCATTTTTCCCCCCTAAACTAGGTTATACATATACACACCTATTAAAATTCAACAACAAAAAGCTGTTAGAAACACACGATATCAAAGTCCTGTTCAAGCAGCTGATAAGAGAGTGGTTTGTGACAAGGGCATTCCTGGCAGTAGTGACAATGCTAAGCTCAAGTTTCCAAGATTACTGTTGCCTATAACTTATTTTTTAGACTTATTTTTTAAGAGATTGTGATGGCCTCTATTTTTCACCTTGAATATGAATTTGTTCCAAGAACTAAGTTAGCATAATTTCACCAGATGGGTACTGTTGCAGCATGTCAGTAAACACTACCAGCTAATTCTAATAGCTGGGGGTCATCTTTGTCCACCATGCACATGTGTTTTTCCCCTTTCAAGGACAGACTATGAAGTGAAATGACCAATCTGAGTGTAAAGACCAAGTCTCCAGTGAGAGTCACAATAAATATTTTAGTTGTAAATTCTGCTAGTCTGGAGGACCAACAGATTTTATTGCCTATTATATTTGGACAGTAGAGTTTTAAATTTATAATTATTAAGTACTAATGTAGAGTAAGTTTTTCCTTTTTTTTTTTTTTTTTTTTTTTTTTTTTGGTTAAGCTATGAGGTTCAGTACTGCTGACTAAAATTGTTATATTTCACCTTAGCTCTATCTCCTGCAATACTTATGCAGTTATAAAATATTGCAAATGAGCTATTTGATATTTTTAGGACTTTTAATGGCACATATTAAATTACATTCTGTTTATATGTAAAGGTTGTACTTATAACTGTAAGAAATTAAAATATAGTTCATATTTAAATGAAAATATCAATCTTGGAAACTTTTCTGGTACTTGCCTGGAAGAAAGGACTCCTCAAATCCTGGTATCTTTTACTTAGTTTCTTGTGGTACTTGGCAGGCTCTAGATAAACTAACAACTAGTAACTACAGTTCTGACCATAGAATTATACAACTATTCCCCATGATATCCCCTTTAGCCAACAGAAGTTCATGCTGGACAATATTTGTACACAGGCATACTAGTTACTATGTAGTATTTTGTAATTTTTAGAACAGATTTTCAGTAAGTTTGCACTGATTTTCTATTTGTTACTTACTGTAAAATTTATTTTAAAACAGATTTTAAAAAGTTCTTTGCAGAAGAATATTTGATCAGAACAAGAGGATCATGATGACAACAAGATTCATCTGTCTAATGCTAATAGCTGTTGTGGGAGCTACTGCAAGCAAAACACAGGAATTTGAAGGCAATGATGAGGAAACAGAACAAGAATTCATTTATATGAACAGATATAAGCGTTCCAGTGACACCCAGGACAAATGCACTTACACCTTCATTGTACCTCAACAGAGAGTGACAGGTGCCATTTGTGTTAATTCTAAGGAGCCTGAAGTTCTACTTGAAAACAGGGTAAACAAACAAGAATTACAGTTACTTAACAATGAACTTCTTAAACAAAAGAGACAAATAGAAACTCTCCAGCAACTGGTAGAGGTGGATGGTGGGATTGTTAATGAGGTTAAACTCTTAAGAAAAGAGAGCAGAAATATGAATTCTCGTGTCACACAACTCTATATGCAGTTACTACATGAAATTATCCGAAAACGTGACAACGCCTTAGAACTTTCGCAACTTGAGAATAAGATTTTGAACCAAACTGCAGATATGTTGCAGCTTGCAAACAAATACAAAGACTTAGAACACAAGTACCAACATTTGATGTCAATTGCCAATAATCAGTCAATAATAATTGCCCAACTGGAAGAACACTGTCAAAGAATGCCATCCATAAAGCCACTGCCACAAACTCCACAGCCACCAAATAAAGTGTACCAGCCTCCTAATTACAATCGCATTATTAACCAGATATCTACTAATGAGATTCAGAGTGATCAGAACTTAAAGGTTCTGCCACCTACCTTACCAACCATGCCTGCAGTTACTAGCATTCCGACTTCAACTGATAAACCATCTGGTAAGTAATATTATTGATATGTCTACATTAGTTTATGCTAATATGCAGCGTGCAACATTTTAATTGTAGTATCAAAAATACATACAGAACTCATTAATTTGGCAAGATAAATGCAAATGAATTGTTTTGTACTAAGTGAGATTTCTTAGACCTGACATTGTCTATCTTATGTATTTTTAATATACATGTTGTAGTACAAGCACAGAAAGAAAGCAAAAAAATTAATTCTGAATGTTTAACAGATTCAGACACACTAGTCCCACAGATTTTTTTCATGTTACTTTGACAAGACAAACCCACCATTTATTACATGTATGAGATAAAGAAGCTGCAGAAAAATCTTACTAATCAACAGTCAGTCATCTAAATTTCATTTACCTGTGCCTGAGACCGAACTGTTGTAATTCATGACATCTGAAGGTGTTTGACATTTTTTGTGTAATCATTTATGAAGTCATTACAATTCTGTTGATGTAGCATGTGGTAATTTTTGTGCTTGTGTAACTCAAAAAGGAAGATGTATCTGCTATGTACCTCACACAGGGCACTTGCACCCTAAGACAGGAACAAAGGAAAGCGAGTGGTGGAATAGTAAGTGATATTATACAGCCCTCACTAAGAGTCTTAAGAATCTTAGGAGTTCTTCTATAAGCAAGATTAGAGGCATCTGAAATCACATTAGAGATCAGTTGATCTATGTGATAAATAACAGGTAAAGAATACAGTTTAACCTATGGTCCCACATATTTCAAAAAAATAGTTCAAGTATTATGTGTCTCATAGAAGAGAAGTCTGTTCTTCAGCGTGTGGGCAACATGTACTTGCTTCAGAAAAAAAATAGGAAACCCACAAATGTCTGAAACTAAGACTTGAAATTGAGTAAGGCATGTGAAATGCACTCAGAATATATTGCAACATATTCCACATGACATTGTCAAACTCTTTAGAATTACCAAATAATGCAATTGCCACATTAAAAAAAAAAAAAAAAAAACAAAAAAAACAAACCACAGACTTATTTTTCCATGGAAATAACCACAATGAAAGAAACTTGAGCAGGTGTTTCAGTCTAAAGCAGTCTCTGAAACACTCTGCTACAAAGCAGTTATTTCACCGTGTTGTCAGAGATGAACTCACCAAAGCCTGCATTGTGGCATGCAGAATGTCAGCCAAAAATAACATGATTTTAATGTTCTATGAAAAAAAAAAAGATAATCAGGTCTATTACAATTTATTTGGACCAATACACAAGATGACCTCTTTAATAATTACATTTTGACTTTGATCTCAAAGTAGGTTCAAGCTTAGTACACTATTTCCTATCTTTCTGTAAGTGAAATATTCTTCAAGCATTCTGTTAAGACCTTTCCCCTTCCTGCTACGCTCTTTTGAAAACTCATTAATTGGTCCACATCCTCTTTGTGCTTTTAAGTACCGAAACTGTGGCTGAGACTTCACCATCACACAACAGAACAGAAAAATTACTTCATGTGCACAGTACTTTTGTAAATCTGTCCTCATAAAGTATTTTCCTTTTTTGCAAAGGACACATGCACATTGACTCACGACCACCTTGCAACCCTGTAGAACCCCTAGATCCTCGCCTGAGGAAGTGCTGCTTATCCAGCTATTCTTCATGTTCATCTCCAGAGCTCCCTTGCAAAGCTCACGATTCTAAGATTTGACATCTGCTACTTCTCCCTTATCTACACAACTTACCAGAAAAAGAAGTTTCACATTTCTTCTGCACAAATCCATTATAATATTAATTTCTATATTGTTTTTCTGCTTTGCAGCAGTTTGATATGTTCAAGCAAATTTCCAACAACTCAAGTTAAGCTATTTAACCTTTTATTTCCAGAGTATTGTCCTCACCTCTTCCCACCTTTCTTTTTGGGCAAGAAACATTTAATACCTTTTCTGCGTCCACTAGAATGTTCTCCACTCGCACAGCACATCTCAAACAAAATCCCTCGCCACAATTAACGCTGTAAATGATGCTTCAGCGAGGTGTTGGAAATGAACTAGGAAAAACCCACAAAAACACCCCCCCACACTACCACCCCCTTACCTACAACCAACACCTCACAAAACAAATAACCACAGCCACCACAACTGCTCAGCCACTGGAAAAAATCCATCTATCATTTATCCAATCCTTTCTGTACTGTGACTCTGAGTTCTCAACCTTTGCCAAAGCTCCTGGTTGTACTAACCATCTGATTGTATCCAACCTGCTCAATGTAAACTGAAGAAAAATGGAAGAAAAATACTAAATGCCTTCTCAGTTTATTCTGTTGACAGCTCTCTTCCTCACAAAGTAGCAGACCAATATTTTCCCTTGATCATAGACTTACTGCAGTCTTACTATTCTCAGTAGCTTTCTTTGATTTTGTGCGTTTTGTGCACGCTTGTTTTTTGAGGGGGGCATTTGTGGTTGTTTTGTTAAAAACAAACAAACAAAACCCACAACCAACCAGCCATGCCTTATACTTTGAGCTGGCATCTGCTTAGTATGAGCTGAAAGGTCATGGTTTGGCCAATTTCTTACCATTTTCGCTAGCTGCCTTCTACAACAGCAATATCCATTGCAATGTCATCAGAGACTTTTTAACTTGTAAACTCTTCGCTTGGACTAATTGTCTAAAGGATTTTCTCTGCACACTCTCTGAATTTGCTGACATCTGTTACATTTAAGTTAAATTTGTTTTGCTTTTCGCTTTTGTAAGAATTGTGGCCTCCATTATTTCACAGTCAAGATCACCTGCACTACTTTGCATTTCACATTTTCAATCAGTTCTTCCCTAGTTACTAGGTTCAAATGTAATATATTGAATGGTTTTTGCCTTCTCTATTTTAGGCATATATGAAGAACCTATCCCTAAAAATTTCAGAAACTTGCTATGTATTTTTTATCTGTTGTGTTCTTCTCCCAACATATAGTTGGAAGTTGGTAACTCACTGGAAGAGGCAGGCAATGAGTGTCAAAACCCAAACATTTAAGTTAATTATGCACAAAAACTGCACAGAAAGTGAGACAAGTTATTTCACTGCTTTAAAACAAAGCTCATATTTCCTTTTCGTTTGTATTAATGATTTTAAATTAATTAAAAGCTACATTGATTCAAGCCTCCAGTTCTCAGTAATCATACATAGTGCTTCATGGAGTCTCATCAAATCCATAAGACATAAGAGCTTGAAATATGATATGTCATTTCTGTAAAACATTGTGCAGTGTGAAAATATCAGTGCAGAGCAGAATTAAGGGAATCTCTAATTCATAAGAGCCATTACATGGACCTGTTGGATTGGGTCCAGAGGAAGGCCAGAAAAATGATCAGAGGGCTGTAACACCTCTATCAAGAATGGCTGAGAGAGTTGTTCAACCTGGAGAACAGGCGGCTCTGGGAAGACCTTATTGCAGCCTTCCAGTATTAAAGGGGTCTTTCCAGAAAGATGGGGACAGACTTTTTCATTGCCTGTAGCAACAGGACAAGGCATAATGGCTGTAAACTATAAGAGGGTAGATTCAGAGTAGGTAGGAAGAAATTTTTTGTGATGAAACACTGGCACAGGTTGTGCAGAGAAGTGGTAGATGCCCCATCCCTGGAAACATTCAGGATCAGGCTGGACAGGCCTTTGAGCGACCTGGTCTAGTTGAAGATGTCGCTGCTCATTGCAGGGGGGTCGGGCTAGATAACCTTTTAAGGTCCTTTCCAACCCAAACCTCTCCAATACTATGGTAATCTTCTGTGATAATCCTAGCTCCCTCCTATTTTTTTTTTTTTTAATTACACATTTTAAAAAAAAATATTGAGAAAATATTTTGTTTTGTACAATTTAACTGTTCAAATTAAGGTCAAGAAATAAAGTATGATTAGAGAAATTTTCTCAGAATCCAAACAGAATTAATGACTGTGGAAGACAGAAATTAAAGAGATGCAAGACAAAAAGACAGGGTTGGGAAGAATAATCATGTGGTTTGGGTTAGCAAAATTACAGATACAATTTTAAAAACTTATTTCACGTTCTTCAACTTTGCACAGATAAGTGCGAGTCCAAAGCAATACAACACATCTCACACAAACAGTTATCAAAACCTGTTCTGGTGTTTATGTAACATAAATGTGTGGTCTCTTCATTATACAGCTGTGTCTCCATGCTATACATCCAATACTGTAGAAGTATTTTTGTAGTCAGATGTGTTTGTGCCTGTGAACACGTACTCCTCAGAGGTCTACTTGACTTCCTAGAGGCAATTTTATCAAAACTACCTATCTGTAAGTCAGGATGCTCTCACTTTTTCAAGGGAAGATAAGAAGACCCTTGTTTGTAAAGCATGCTAATATTTCAGAAGGAAGATTTATATTTTATTATTGTAAAAACACTAATTATCAGACAGATCTAGTAAAAAAAACTTTTATCCTAACATCAGCACATGCACTATAGAGGAAGTTTACACAATTGCTCAATTACACAATTTTTTTTGCCAACCAATATGACTGGCACAGTCACATCCACCTCAGTCAAAAACCAGGAATCTGAGTTGGAGAGCATAAGAACTGCCACAGAAATTAATTTAACCAACTTACGGAGGGTTCCATAGACATCACTTACAATAAAATAAAGTCCTCATCTTTTTTTTACATGAATATTTTTAAAACAGTCTACTTTATAAGTTACTTGTAATTTAGAATCTTCAGAGCAGTGACCCTTTCTGTAATGACTTTATACAGTACCAGGATACTGGACCCCTATGCCTACACTCAGAGAAAGGTACTTCAGAACAAAACATTATGATCTAAAACAAGACAGTCATTTACAAGTACTCCTCTGTCACATCTGAAGTGCCTTTGCTATTATAATTTACTGTGTAGTGTGATTTAAATGTATAACTGAGTATTTTATCCATATTCACAAAGGTAAGCCAAAACAACTAGGCAAAAAACAAAAAATAACGTGCTGTATTTGAGAGGCAAGGCATAGAAGAACAGCATCTCGTTAAAAATTTATTAGGAATATTTGAAGCGTTGGACATTTCAGAGACATTATAGTCTATTGCTTCTAAGGTGATAAAAGCTGATGACTGCATAACAACACTGGCAGTAAATCATAAAAACGTGATGTAGGTAAATTAATGAACCCCAGTCTCATAGAAAAATGTTCTAGAGAAAAGAAACTGAAAGAATGCATTGTAAAATGTGGGCATCATCACTGGTTATAAAGTAATTTTAGAGATACACACTTCATAATAGACAAGTTAATTTCTCTGCAAGGACTAGCATCATGCTTTGATCCATGCATTTCCCAGAAAGCTTTACTTTATAAGGCATAAAAACCACCCCAGTGTTCCTGTTGCTGGTTCTTTGCAAGAATAAAGGAAAATGTAAAAAAATACTTGGGTTTGATTCTGAGTAGAAGAATTTATGATTTTATCCTAAATCATCTACTTCACATTCTTATTTATGCATTCTTTTTTCCCACTCATGCCCAAAATAATAGGTTTGGTAAGTTTAATTCTTCCTGTAAAATACTGACCATGTACACAACACTGAAATTCTACAGGAAAATATTAAATAAATAAATAATAAATCAGTAATTAGCCAGTAAAGTCACCTCACGTCAACACCAGAGATTGTTCAAAATAACTACAACTGTATTTTACTCCAGTCTACTAAGCAAAAGATGAATCTCAAGTAAAACTTCTATAGTCCTATTTAGGAACACTGCTGTTTAGACTTGCTTGAAAGAGCTAAAAGCCTAATAAGAAGACTTCAGGATGAAATGGTTTAGCTGTGACACTAACAACTCCTTTCTTGGAGTTATTACCCAGAGGTTTGGGGTGGGATGTAGAGCTATGACACACCAAACTCGAACAACTTTGCATGTATTAATGCTTAACAACTACAAGTTTTAATATGCCAATACAAAAAGATGATGTAGTTTATCTACAGTGGGTTTTAGAACATCAAAAATTCTAGCCCACAGTGTCAATAATTCAAGTAGATCTGAAGCAGTTTATGAGTGTAGAATCCTACACGCAACACGACAAACAGTATTATGTGAAGTACTGCTACATTTTCTGTACAAAATGGACTTACATGAATAGCTTATCAAAATATTCTGCTTTGTCCAAATTTGCTAGTGCAACACTGGAAGATGACTAGACACAAGACAAATGAAAGCTGAACTTGAAAACAATGAATTTGATTTATCATCCTTACCCAACAACTAAACATCTCTTTTTCTGAGACAAAACATTTAGTTAGCCAGTTGTACCAATTATGTTTTCTTGTGCAACTGCTATAGAAAACATTATTTCTAGAAAAACATGAAGATGAACCAGTTTATTATACTCTACCAGATAAAACTTGCAGGTAAACATTTTAACTCCATGCTGCATTATAAAAAACCAAAGTTAAATAATAAACATCAAACAGTAATGCTGAGGTTAACGCAGTATTAACATACAGTGTATGCTAATTTTATATGGTCAAAGAAAGCATTTGTATACAAAAAATCAACATACATAAGACAGACAATATATATTCATACTGATAATTATGGCTTAATGAAGCTGATGGTTTAAACTGGTATATCCTTTAGGTGAAGCAATGCAGATTTTGTATCATCAAGTAAAATCTTTGGATAGGAACAGTGGACAAAATTAAAGAAATGCTGAAATGTAATCTGAAAAACATTTAAACCAGGCACAGAAATATTAGGCCAACATATATAGAGAGGCCAAGCCAAACATATATATGCTTCTAAACAAATATTACCACTCAAGCAACAACAACAAAGATCAAAGAACTAGAAAGCTGGGGTTTTAGGCTGTTACATCAGATCTTGCTATGAGGAACTTGAAATGATACAAGATAGTGGAATATTATAATACCAGTACATAAAGTGTTAACTGAAAAGGTAAAATGTTTTCAAGTACCATAGAGACTATTTGAAGATACCCTACTGGAAATTCAGAACTATCCACCCATCCAAAAAAAAAAGACTGAGAAGACCAGGAAATCTTGTCATGGTTAAGCAGCTTGATAAAAGAGCAGTATTATAAGACAGACAGCATTGTTCAAACCACGAAAGTCATGTCCAAATCAGGAAACAAGAAAAGGACATACTCTCTGTCAGGTTAAATATAAAGACGCATTAAAATCTTAAGAATGATTTGCAAAAAGAATAAAAGGCATAATCTGATTTCTAACACATCAGGAATAAGAAGCCTGACAAAGCTTATAGGGAAAGATATACTGAGAGAAATTAAAGCAACAGTAGAAAATCTGAATTAATTTTAGTATGAGTACTCACTGAGGGGACACTTTGATGTGCAAATCTGAATCATGTATCATCATCCAATCACCTTGAATAAGAATCAACCTGGTTTTTGCAATACCAATTTTGTACCACTTTTAGAGATATCTGAAGGGCTCAGTGCCTATGCAGAGTTCTGCTTGATATGCAGTCTGTATGTACTTCCAGAAAGCACAAAACAGGTTTCTTACTAATGGTGTTTAAACTGCTACAAAGTAGAAAAAGCGAGCCTCACATAAATAAAACATAAAAATCCCTTAATTATTCAATATTTTTTCCATGAGGAAGAGTTAACTATGGTTTTCTTATGGCGATCTGTGCTGGAGTCAGTTATCTTCAGTACCTTCCCTTTAATTTCTGATGCCAGGTGACAAATCTATACTACACAGTTTAGCCAAAATCTTGGAAAGTTGGTATCTGACAAAAAAACACCTGTCATAAAAAAGTAGTATCAAACTCTGCTTTGAAGTATTTATAATAGTTTATCTTCATCTTAAAGCACTTCCAAAAAAAAGAATCATGTACAGTAGAGCACTGTTGCCATGTGGCCTAGAAAAAAACTGCAAGATCAGAAAGCTGTAAATACTACATCATACATATACTGCTATATATTTAATTTTATGATCAAAGATCTGTGGTTCACTATTTTAGGAATTCCTTCGATACTGACTCTGAACTGACATGTTCTTTTTTGTTATTAATAAAGTGCCACTATGTACATACTGTGATCAAATAAACAAGAGCAATTTAAGTTACCAGCATTCATTACAGTTGTCTTCTTCCACCTCTCATAATAAGCTATGCAACTGTGTCACAGAATACTGCATTTACATCTAAATTGCCAGAAATCTGGTTAACCACAACCGAAATGGAGAAGGGGATTAGAAGCGGCACTCTAGCTACAGTCTGTGAATATGACTAAGGAAACAGGAACAACACAGCATGGCCACAGACCAAAAACTTGGATTGCTTCTTGGCACATTGCCTTTTCGATTAACTAGTTAAAAAGGCTGAAAAACCCCAATCCCCCAAAACACTGAGGTTGTTTCTATAAAAATAATTTATTACTAACTCATTTACAGAGTACAAAGGTTGCTCTGCTACTGCCAGTGTTGGACACTAAATTATGAAAAAGGATAGATGAACTTAAATAATTTAAAAGAGAAATTACTCTTGATAGCAACATATGCTTCTGTAAGACTCCTCACGAGAAGATCTGACAGGCCTTCCTCCTTCAGTGTGTGGAGAAAATAAATAAATAATAAATCAATCAAGGCTTTCCAATCTGTAATCCTGAGGATTATTTTTGACTTCACTCTTCCGTTTAGGCAGCAAAGCAGCCGGGGGAGTCTATGTGCAGATATCAACACAGACTCCTAAATCATTTACAAATAAATTTCTCAGGACTCATTAATATGGAATCTAACTATTCCCATTAGAGAAAATGTCTTTAAAAATCATGAATGTAAGATACTTTCAAAAAGAATAAGCTCTTTATGGACTCTACTAAACTCCAAGAAAAAAATACATTCTCTTTCTGAAAATATGAGTGCATTATCTATAATTTCTGTGAATGTGAACTATTTTAAGTCTTCTAATTTATCTACAATTGCTCTCGCTATATAATTGGGCATTCCATGTTACAAATCTTAATTTCTGTTTTGTGTCATCATTTATTAAAGTGACGACAGTAACACCTACATTCTTAATTTATGTTGCCAGTTCCATTGTTAATGTCCATGACATTCTCAGGGATCTAAAAAGCTGAATTTCTCAAAGACAGAAACAACGTCAAATGTACCATTTTGTTTTCTGAAGGAAATTATTAATACTTATCTGTGGAGTCTTTGAAGATACAATCAATCTTGTAAGTGTAGCTGTCTTAAATAAAATACATTTTTTTAAAAAAATATCTACCTTTATCAGTAATTCATTGCAATATGTTCCAGAAATAAAGTTATAACAAATTAATCTGTTTGAAACACTTAGGGGACACTCACTGTACCATCAGTAAGAGGAAGAACAAACAAACTATTCAGCAGAAGCAAATCTACTGTAAAAAGCTACCAATTCAAATATCTCTGTGCATTAAAGATATGCTCAACTGCATTTTGATGCAGAGCCTTTCTGTTTTGACACAGGGCCCTGGAGAGACTGTCTACAAGCATTAGAGGACGGCCATGATACAAGCTCCATCTATCTTGTAAAACCAGAAAACACAAATCAGCTTATGCAGGTCTGGTGTGATCAACGGCATGACCCTGGCGGCTGGACAGTCATTCAGAGACGGCTGGATGGGTCTGTCAACTTTTTCAGGAACTGGGAGACATACAAGGTTAGGACAAGTGAGCAGTTTAATGTTTTCTACTGTATAAAAATTATTGGAAAAGTTAAGTTAAGGGTAATTTTACAGCTTACTTAGAGACCAACTTGTGCGTTTACCCTTCCAGAAGAGGAAGTCTCTATAAAATAAGTTACTGTGGTTTTCTACTTGACAATACACTCCAATTTACCACTAAAACAGATGCAGAATATTAACAAGCTTCTCTTGCTTCCTTTACAGCAAGGATTTGGTAATATAGATGGAGAATATTGGCTCGGATTAGAAAATATTTATTGGTTAACAAATCAAGGCAACTACAAACTGCTCATAACAATGGAAGACTGGTCAGGTCGAAAAGTATTTGCTGAGTATGCAAGCTTCAGATTGGAGCCAGAAAGCGAGTATTACAAATTGAGATTGGGACGCTACAATGGCAATGCGGGCGATTCTTTCACTTGGCACAATGGTAAACAGTTCACCACACTGGACCGGGACCATGATGTATATACAGGTACAAGATCCCTTTCAGTTGCCTTACTTATTCTACCTTCCCCCCTGCCCCTCCTTTTTTTCCTGCTTTAAAAAAACAAACCAAACCAAACCAAAAGGTCATACACAAAAAAGAAGAAATTACATTTTTAGAGATTTGTCAATTAGTAACTTAGGAAACACAAACTGATGTGTCAACCCTTATACGTACTAATACTGAAATAAAAACTCTCACCGAAATATTTGTAATTTCTGTAAAATATGCCACAGGGGTGGTGATTTGAGACAGTAATGCAAACAAATTTTCCAGCAAGGGAGAGTAACACTGAGTGTATCTGTAGAACCTAACTACAGAGCTGGTTCCTGAAGAAACCTAAAATTCACCTTGTACCACATGGTATCTACATGTTAAACACACAGTTAAAAAAAAAAAAAAAAAAAGTTTTGTGCTTAGCTTGCTTGCTGTAAGATTTTTCATTTACTCCTAAGACTGAATTGGACTTCTCTTTTGCAGGTAATTGTGCTCATTACCAGAAGGGAGGATGGTGGTACAATGCATGTGCTCATTCTAATCTTAACGGAGTCTGGTATCGTGGAGGACACTACCGCAGTCGGTATCAGGATGGTGTTTACTGGGCTGAATTCCGGGGTGGATCATATTCACTGAAAAAAGTTGTGATGATGATAAGACCTAACCCCAACACATTCCACTGAAATAGTTCTTCTCTTGATTTGCTTTCTTGTTCTAAAAATCACATAAAGCTATGATGTTATTACCTGGAATTATCTTTTCAGAAAAGAGGAATGTAAGATATTGTACATTTATTGCTAAGATGCGAGGGCTTGTATATTGTATTTTCAAGAATCATTGCAGTAAAAAAACACTGAAGAAAAAAAAGGAACTGAAGTGACATAACATTCAGAACACCTCTTGGTACTAAAAGTAGTTATATTAAGCCTTTTAGAAGTGGCAGTTTAGATGGACTGTAGATAAAACTTTCTGGTTTTTATTCCCTGTAAATTAAGTTTGGATGGTAAAAATACTGCCACAACATTTAAATATTTTTGTATGCTATATTATGTATAAATATTCTCAAATACAGGAAATATTACAAACTGTACAGCAAGAGTTTTATTATTATTATTATTATGAACAATCATTTGACACAGGAAATCATATCCTTTGAACTGTGTAGCTGGTATATGTACATTAGTGTGATTATTCTGATTTAATCTTTGTTAAATGCCATGAATAAAGTTAGTACTATATAATTTGATTTTGAGCATAGATACTCAAACCATTACTGTTGTGATAAATCCAGTTTTTCCCCTTCACTTTGAGCATCAGCCTCTATAAATTAGAATTCATATTCAATTAAAATATTTTAGACTAAAAACACTATTGATTTTTCTTATCAAAGTGAAGTAGCTACCTGCATATGATTTACAACAGATATAACATGCTGTATAGCTAACACGTTATACTACACAACTGTCACAGTATTTTGTACCCGACTTCAGTCATTACCTGCTGTGTAGCCTCTGTAATCAGAAATGGCTGGATATAAATTAAAGGGACTATCCAACTTTGCAGGCAAATGATGGATACCAATATATAAGCTATTTACTATCCTTAGCCAGTAGATGAAAATGATATAAAGAAGTTACCTGAAGTTACCTGTAACCAAGAAAAGTTATATTTACCATATTTCACAATTATAACATATTACTGTCAAATCATTAAATAGATTTACTCATCTGTATTTAGAGGTCAGTCACAACTATGAAATACGGATTGGGATAATTCTAATATTCTTCTGAGGTAGGTTTCTAGAACAGATTGTTATAACACCCATTTCAAAACAGAAACTACTATGAAAAGTGTAAGTTAAAGAATGCATGTAAGAGGGAGAGCAGAAGTCTCTAGAAGTTCGGTATATTTTTCAGCAAGACTGTAAGATACTGTACAATTGTGTGTGCTTGCACACTTTTTCCCTTATTACCTCATCACTTCTCTACAACAGTGTGATGTGCATTGAACTGATGTGTGATGTAGCATGTTTTGTGTATAACAAAGTAGGGTTTTTAATATATTAGATTACCCCTGTAATATTGTAATCCTTTAATAAAGCAACAAATGTTATTTTGACATGTTCAGATTTCATCCTGTTTTAATTCAGGTTACTCACAGAAAAGAACAGATAATCATTTAAGTTCACACCACTCTGCCTCATGGCTCACATCAACTCTGATATGCAACTACTATTAACGTGTATGAAGTGTCTAAATATTACAACATCAAAAACAAAGTAATTTTCAGCTGAGAAAAATACAGAATTTCCACTCATCCCAAGCAGGAAGAACTTTTTGTAGGTCAGATGAAAATTCCCAAATTTTCAAAGAGTATTCAAGCTTTATCTTCTATCGGTTTACCTAATTGACTCTGGAAAACAATTAAGTTTTAGGTAAGAAATAGTAAGTACATCTACCGGTTCTAGAGCCTGGCCACTGTGCTCTAACAATTTGGGTTGTAGCGTTAAGGCAGTAAAATTCCTGCTGACATCTATAACTAACCACTAGTTTTATCAGAAGAAAACGCACATAGTAGAGTGATGCCTACCTTGGAAGAGTCACTTAAGAATTCTTCAACATGCACAGTGTGTATGCACATTCAACTTATGTCTGTAACTAAATAATCAAAACTTCCTGAAAATACTTCAGCATAGCAACATCTTTAGGTTACGTTCACACTTCACCCTCTTCTTGTGCTCCTTTGGTAACATGCTACCACAGCATATCCAGGTAGAACACAACACATAACCCATGGACTCAGATACAGGGGCAGAAAAACAAATAAGAACTTCATGCTACTACTACCTACCTACCCTGGAGTGTTTGCCCACTTTCAAAACATAGGTTACGACAAACATTACATCCCTACACTCACAGGTTGCATGAAAAGGACCATCAGAAGCTTTATGAAGGTAGCAAATTCAACATACTCTTCCAAGTGCTACTTTTGTGCTTGTCTTGGTGAAGAAATGCAGAGAATTTCATGTATCCATTGTGCAGATCTCAAGAACGGGTCATTCTCTAGGAAAGCTATTACAGGTGCTTTTCTGTAGAAGAAGATATGGCTACAAATACATCTCCATAGTATACACTCATGACAGGCTTTAAATCCACGTCCAGGTTGACAGTATATTGGCAGAATCATAGATTTGCAATATTTTACTATTCCTTTTTTTTTTTTTTTTCAAATTCACACAACAGAACTCAGTTTGCACTAGATCCACCATTTCACTACTGTAGACTGTGAAAGGTCTTAGTTTTTCCCGTTTCCCTAATTATTTCCAATTATTTCAGTTATTTTCTTGTTTCATCACTCCCCAAAGTAGTACATCTCTGACAACACTAGGCTGCCTAAAAATCACATACAAACCATTTTCCTATCATTAGCAAAAGCACGTGAGATGAGTTTATGTAGGAGAGAACTGCAGCACGAGAACAGTTTTATGAGCTTCAATTCTCCTGTATTCCTCCTTCATTTGAAAAGTACTGCAGAAGAATAGTCCTGCAACTGCCAACATCCTAAACACTTAGGCTGCTCTTCTGAATTCTTAAAATATCTCTATCTTTTTAAGAACAGTAAAGAAAAAGCTGTTAACTAATACATTATATTTGTATCAGGAACTAAACAGTGGGGCTCCACCTAGAGCATTTAGACAAAAGGCTGTCACAAAATTTTAGTTACTTTGGAAGACAACTCATTATTTTCTTATACATATATTTCATGAGACTTCTTTCCTGAGACTTCTATTATCATTTAAAGTTTTTAGCATTATCCCCATTGTTATATTCCATGAAAAAAAACAACAAAACACCACAACTCAGTGAAACCTGTAGATTGTGAAAGAACATACCCATCTTTGCCCTATCTGTAACATACAGATACCACCTAAAATATCACCTACGGTGAAGACAGGAAAAAGCTGTAGCTAGATACTGCATGCATGAATTTTCAAAACAATGTGGCTGCTATTTTTTTCCCTTAGATCACAGCATGGCTAAATACCTCCAACAGTCCACACCACAGCCTTGCCAATATCATGGTTCTTTTTCTACTTTCTCTCCATTTTTTTGTTGTGGGTTTTTTTTTTTTTTTTTTTTGGTTGTTGGGTTGGGGGTTTTTGGATTTTTTTTTTTTTTTTTTAAGTTTGGAAGATCTGCCTGAAAAGAAAACAACTGTTGGATGTTTTAACTATACTAAGAAATATATTAATTTCTCACATTATATCCTGAGGTTGCAAACACACCAGTTGTTGTCCCCTGTATTCATCTGGTTACACAAAGGTTCAACTGCACCTCTTAGGAAACATGGAAAACCTTACTTTAAAAGAGCAGCAACATTGCTCACTCTTTGCAACCACCAGGGAGAGTCTCTGGGATGTACAAAACCTGAGGTACAATGTATGTGGGAGGATAGCAAGTTGAAAAGAGGTTGTCTAGACACCATCAGGAATTTCAGATTCAATCCTGTAACTCGGAAACACGTGGATTTCTCCTTTCACTTTCATTACTAATGTCTTATTAAGCTTGCAACAATTTTGTCCATTTCAGAAATATCTGCATTTTAAATTTAATTAAAACTAGTTTGGAGTGATGTCCCGATAACTGTATAGTACTAAAGCACTTCTTACAAAAGGCTGTGAGTCAGTTCTATAAATCAGAGCATTTGGACAACATAAGCAGTTGTTTAAGTCCCCAGGACGTTCTCCAGTGCATCTCAAACAGCATCTCAGACTGCCCCAGATGGAATGAGAACTGGTATCTTAAACTAAGTAACTGTCTTGTAGTGAGAGACAAGAGGCTCTGCAGCACAAAATGGGAGCCCCATGAACTCCGCAAATCTTCAGAGACTTCATCATGATCATTCTGTGTTTCAAGTTCACTATTTACTTCTAACGTAGATCAGTCTACTTCTTCGTTTAAGCACATTAAAGAAGCTTGTCGATACCTAATAGTCTCCCCTGAGAAGATATGCATTGAAACAAGTGCCCTTTGAATATTCTCTTTTCATAAGCTAAATATTCCTTCAAACCTGAAATTATTTTCAAAGAATTTTCAACAACTCATCCCATTTTTTCAACACATTTTTTAAAGTATAGCCATTAGGAACAGTTGTCAAATTTATTTAGTAAGAAATATTTTACATAAACAGTGCTGACTGTTATCCACAGGACTTTGTGCTGGGACTCATGCTGTTCAACATAATCATAAATGACCTGAAAATCGGAGTGAACACTGGAACAAAAATCTGATGATATTAACTAATTGAGGGTAGCAAAGAGAATGGCTGACTGATAGGAATTGCCGAAGAATTTGACAGACTGCTTGGACAATGAGACAGAAGATGAAAAATTTATAGAGAGTGATACATACGGGGGAAAAAAGTCCTGACTTACCACATAAAACAAAAAGAGCAAATAATTGCCAATAAAGGCAAGATCTTGGGATTACAATAACTAGTTCCTGAAAACAACTTGATTTCTTGATTGCCATTATAATTTGAGCTAACAGAACGTTAGGAATTATTAAGCAGTACACAAAAAAGCTTTCTGTATATATCTAATATGCACTTCTATATTGAATTTTGTGTGTAGTCCACGTGCACTCTTCCCCTAAAAAAGGATACAGAACTGAAATGTTGCCACAAAAGGTTGTCAAGAATGCCAAATGGCATCTGTACAAGGCATGATCAAGTAATCCAAGGAAGTCCTTTTGAAAGAGAGGTAACTGAAGATTTAGTGTGAAGACAACAGAGATAATGACTGAAGTCCGTAATGTCAGGATTAGCTTCAAGAAATTGTATAAAGAACAAGGTAAGGTTTATCCAGTGAAGGTGGAAAATACCATGTTCAAATCAAACAAAAGACTGTGGTATTGGACAGACCTGAGGAAATCCTTCCTGACTGGGTGCCGTGGATGCAAATAATTTACATATATTTAAAGAGAGAGGACATGAGTTCATAGAGAAGCTTATGCAGCATTCTTGAGCTCTACTTATCCAGGTTTCAGTAATTTAAAAGCAATTAGCCTTTTTTAGCTACAGCTTAGCATCATCCTAAATGACTAATAAAGCCAGAAAATAGTTCATTTTATTGAACTACAGTTACTAACAACCTACATGCAGAAGTCTTCCCAGGTGAAATACTGACAAAAGAAACCAGTTCATTGAATGGCCACTGTGTATATGTCACAAAAGAAAAGGAGACTGTCAACACTGGACAGCATTTTATCTGTAGGTGTCCTTTTTAATATATCTTCAAGTTGAACTACACATATATTTATTCAGCACCTGAAGGAAATATTCATTGCAGAAATATGTACACATCTCTTGTGTACAAAAAGTGTTCATGTTTAAAAAGTGTTTCCTGTTTTTTATTTTTCCAAAAGGTCTGTTTGGTAATGCAAATTGGACAGATTTTTCAAAATCTGCAAGTTTGACTAATGACAGTACCTAATTTTTTTGTCTTTGTTGAAAGTCTTAATTTAAATATGATTCGCACACTTTCTTGATCTAGTAGATAATCTAATTCTTCAAGACAGAAAAGAAAAAATATGACTAAAAGCATCATTAAGGCAGGTTCTCAAAAATACATGTGTATCTTACTCTTAGATGCTTTTTGAAGGCTGTTAAACACCTATATGCCTGTGAAGACACTGTCTCTTGTTCAGACTTCTGGTTTTGTTGTGGCCATACACCAAAGTCTTCAAAAAAATTTAACTTTACTTTCAGTGATCATTAAAATTCTGCTTTCGGTGATCATTAACGCTACCAAGACTTCTATTCTTCAGTCAAAAAAAAAACACAAAAAGTAGCATAAACAAAAAACCAATATAAAAACAACCATCAACTGTAAGCAGTAACAAAACTGCTGTCATGCAAAAAGACTTAATGTAAAGAGGTTGCATGATATGAGAAGTCTGTCCAGATGACAATTTTGAACATACTTGAAATAAGTGGAGGTGAGCTCTGGTATATCATGTAGATGTACCTTTTCAGCCCTATGCAAACAATCTTGAAGAGAAAATTAGCAAAAAGGATATAGCATTTTATGATTGTAACTTTGACCAAAATCAAACCAA